TGTGCAGAGGCAGGGATGGATGGGTGGACGGATGCATGCGCAGAGGCAGGGATGGATGGATGGACGGATGCATGTGCAGAGGCAGGGATGGATGGATGGATGGATGTATGAGCAGAGGCAGGGATGGATGGGTGGGTCTGGATGGATAGAAGGGGGTAGGACGTTTTTATCCTGGAGGAGGTGATCAAGCCTAAGTCCTCACACCAGGCAGGGTGGGAGGCAGGAGATGACCTTGGGGATATGCAGCTGTGTGCCCCAGTGCACCAGAAGTTACAGATGACATTGATGTCCTGTCCTGATGAAACAGGAAACACATTTGTCATTGAAGAGTTGGAAGCTGGGGCTGGGTAGAAGCTTGAGGGGCTGTGGGCCTGGCATGGAGCTGCCTGCTGGAGCCCGGGGCAAGGATGATAGGAGATGCCCCTGTGGACTGCCCTCTAGGAATCTCATGGGGCTGGGGCTGCACAGTTGTGCTTGTGTAATTTACCCAGATGCATGGCGTGACAAGGGTGCAGGAAGAGGTGCACGGCCCGGAAGCCTAGTGTGGCTAAGGAGAGGCAAGGCAGGGAAGAAAGTGAAAGATGACTGATATTGCCCTGATTGAGACACCAAACTTCCTCCAGTTTCTCAGAAAGAGGACTCAGAAGAACAAGAGAACGTACAGTGAACCTGGAAATTCATCGGTGCGAATGTGATTTCACCAAGACCACTGAAACCCCTGCTGAGAGGCAGGCCGGCAGAGCCAGGGTACCTGGCCACTACCTTGAAGTCTCTATACCTCAGTTTCCTCCTTTGTAAAATGGGCATAGGAGATAGGTTTGGTGAGAAGTGAATGAAAACGTGTTTGCTACCCTCAGGACTCACATTTCATGCTTAGACACTTAGCGAGTGGCTTTAGGGACCGAGAGAAATTTGCTTTTCAATTCACCAAGTCATTACCTATGAATCTGCCCGAACACTGCTGACCTTAGAGCTAGTTGTGAAACAGATCGGCATGGGGTCATCGGTGCCTCCCTGCGGTGTTGCCACACTGTGTCTCTGTCTTGGTCTCTTTCGGCCTCTCAGCAGTGGGAGCAGGAGCCAGCAGGCAGCTCACGGATCAATGAGCTGGGCTTGCAAAGCGTCTTGGTCCTGGCAGTCCTGGCGCCTGGGCTGAGTCCCGAGGGAAGAGGCTGCTGTGGTGGGAAGAGGCTGGGAGCGAGGCTGGGCACTGGGGCCAGCAGGCTGTGGTCTGAGAGTGCCTGCTGCAGGAGCTCCATGTTTCCAAGGAGATGGAGGAAGACCTGAGTGGGGGTGGTAAAGGGTGGGGAGATGAGGCGCTGAAGCGGTGGGTAGGGAGATGGGGGAGGGGGAATGGAGGACTCAAGGGATGTGGGGAAGGAACGTGCCTGGAGGAGGGATTGGGGCAGGAATGGGGGCAGGTCTTGGGTTAAGGACAAGGACCTACATCCCCAGCAGATGTGGGTGGCAAGGGGGAGAGGGGTGGGGGTCGCTGACCATAGACTGGAGCTGTGGGGAGGGGATGCTCCCAGGTGTGGCACTGCCTGCAGAGAATGGCCCACACTTTGCAGGTTCCTGCCCCGGCCCCACCGCCCCCTCGAGTTTCTTTTCTTTCTTTTTTTTTTTTGAGATCAGTTCTTATTCTGTCGTCCAGGCTGGAGTGCAGTGGCACAGTCATGGCTCACCCTCCTGGGCTCAAGCAATCCTCCTGCCTCCCTGCCTCAGCCTGGGACCTGAGTAGCTGGGGCCATGGGCGTATGCCACCACTCCCGGCTAATCTTTTGATTTTTTTTTTTTTGTAGAGACAGTGGTCTCCTTATGTTGCCCAGGCTGGTCTTGAACTCCTGGGCTCAAGCAATCCTCCTGCCTCCCTGCCTCAGCCTGGGACCTGAGTAGCTGGGGCCATGGGCGTATGCCACCACTCCCGGCTAATCTTTTGATTTTTTTTTTTTTGTAGAGACAGTGGTCTCCTTATGTTGCCCAGGCTGGTCTTGAACTCCTGGGCTCAAGCAATCCTCCCACCTGGGCCTCCGAAAGTGCTGGGAAATCAGGCGGGAGCCACCACACCCAGCTGTTCCCTGTCAAGTTTCTCTGCACAAAGTGTTCCCTTTTCAGGGGAGGGGCCCATCTGTTTGTGTAAGATCGCCCCTTCCTCTGTGCGTTCTCTGGGTCTCTTCAGCCTGTGGTCCAGTGTCCAGCACCGCCATGCTGATTGGGTGACTGGAGACAGGAATGATGGAAGGTTGGGGAGGGCCTGGGCAGGGGAATCTGGGGCCATCTCTGAAGGGTGTCCTGCTGTTCCTGTTGGCCAGCAGCTGCACTCAGGGCCTTCCTGTGCCCGCCCTTCCCAGTGCAGGAGTGGCCTCAGCTCCTGCCCACTTTCCCCTACAGATGGCGAGGGGACCGACCTGTTTGCAGTGGCTGTGCATGAGTTCGGCCATGCTCTGGGCCTGGGCCACTCCTCGGCCCCCAACTCCATCATGAGGCCCTTCTACCAGGGCCCAGTGGGTGACCCAGACAAGTACCGCCTGTCTCAGGATGACCGTGATGGCCTGCAGCAGCTTTATGGTAGGGGGAGGGGGCCTGCCCCAAACCATCACGTGCCCTGCCCAGTGTCCTCTGCAGCAGGGCCAGGGGAACCACACTTGCCTCTTTCCCCACAGGGAAGGCACCCCAAACCCCACATGACAAGCCCACAAGGAAACCCCTGGTTCCTCCCCAGCCCCCGGCCGTGCCCCCAGACAGGTGAGTCCCCCACCACCTGTGACCTTGGGTGACCTGCTGCCCAGCCTCAGTGCCCTCAGATGGGGATGGTGGGGTCCCTGCCTTGGAGGAAACAAGCCCCCAGTGTCTGCTCACCTCTCCTTTCCTCCCCAGCCCATCCTCCCCGATCCCTGATCGATGTGAGGGCAATTTTGACGCCATTGCCAACATACGAGGGGAAACTTTCTTCTTCAAAGGTGAGTCATTTCTCGTGTCCCCTGACCTCACATATGTTGACTTCCTACTCACTTCAAGTGACCCACTGGGGCTGTGGGCTTACCCTGGAAGTGAAACTTTTTTTTATTCTCCTTCTTTGGGACAGAGTCTTGCTTTGTTGCCTGGGCTGAAGAGCAGTGGTGTGATCATGGCTCACTGCAGCCTCAAAATACTGGGCTCAAGCAATCCTCCCACCTCAGCGTCCCTAGTAGCTGGGACCACAGGCACAGGCCACCACGCCTTGCTAGTAATTTTGTAGACATGCAGGCTCTCACTATGTTGCCCAGGCTGGTCTCAAGCTCCTGGCTCAAGTGATTCTCCCATCAGCCTCCCAATGTGCTAGGATTACAGGTTTGAGCCACTAGGACCGACCAGTGCAGCTTTTAGTGCTAAAAAGGGAAAAGCCCCAGGCAGGCCAGGAGGCGCTGGTCACCCTAGATCCACTGCATCCTTGATTTCCAGATGGGAGCCCTCCACGCAGCCGCACACCCTGGGGGAGGAGACCTCCTGCTATTTCATGCCTTTCTGCCGACCCTTTCGTCCCCTGCAGGCCCCTGGTTCTGGCGTCTCCAGCCCTCCGGACAGCTGGTGTCCCCGCGGCCCGCGCGGCTGCACCGCTTTTGGGAGGGTCTGCCCGCCCAGGTGAGAGTAGTGCAGGCCGCCTATGCCCGGCACCGAGACGGCCGGATCCTCCTCTTTAGCGGTGAGTGGGGCCGGCGGCGGGGCTCGCTGGGCCCGGTGCGGGGAGCCCACCCTGACCTCCCGGCCTCCGCTCTGCAGGTCCCCAGTTCTGGGTGTTCCAGGACCGGCAGCTGGAGGGCGAGGCGCGGCCGCTAACCGAGCTGGGGCTGCCCTGGGGGGAGGAGGTGGACGCCGTGTTCTCGTGGCCGCAAAATGGGAAGACCTACCTGGTCCGTGGCCGGCAGTACTGGCGCTACGACGAGGCGGCTGCGCGCCCGGACCCCGGCTACCCTCGTGACCTAAGCCTCTGGGAGGGCGCGCCCCCTTCTCCCGACGATGTCACCGTCAGCAACACAGGTGGGGAGCGCAGGCACCTGCGGGTTACTGGGCCTGGGGGTGGGGAGAGGGGTGCGGGGAATGGGGACGTGGAGGCCACCCTGGGGGAATGGGGGTCTTTGGGCAGCAGGGCGGGGCGGGTCGGGGCGGGCCCGGGACTCAAGCTGTCCTCCCCCAGGTGACACCTATTTCGTCAAGGGCGCCCACTACTGGCGCTTCCCCAAGGGCAGCATCAAGTCCGAGCCTAATGCCCCCCAGCCCATGGGGCCCGAGTGGCTGGGCTGCCCCGCCCCCAGCGCTGGACCCCGCGCCCCCAGGCCCCCCAAAGCGACCCCGGAGTCCAGAGGCTGCGATTGTCAGTGCGAGCTCAACCAGGCCTCAGGACGGCGGCCCGCGCCCCTCCCGCTGCTCCTCCTGCCCCTGCTGGTGGGAGGTGTCGCCTCCCGCTGATGGGCCCATCCCGACAGAACAGCGCCCTCCACGGACGAGTCAGCCGCCGCTGGACCGGGTCGGGATTGCGAGGCGCTGCGGAGGCCTCTTGTCTGTTCCCAGGGACTGGGGCTTGCGCGCGGACTAAGCGAGGCGGATCTCCCGCGGAGCGGCGCCGGCGGGGACTGGTCGCTCCTAGCGCTGGTCGCCCTTGGCGCTGGGCTCAGCCTCCGAGGGGTCCGGCGCTCTCGGCGCCACCTCCGGAGCCCGCGCCAGGGGGCGCCCGCGCGCAGAGACCAAGCGTCGGTCACCGCCCCCGTCCTTCCTCCCCGAAGCCGCCAGGGGGCGGTCGGACCCTCCCCAGCCCGGAAGGGGCGGCGAGGAGGGCGGGCCCGCGGCGGCACCCGAAGGCAGCAGCTGTTCCCCACCGCGCGCTGCCTTCGCAGGACCGGCCTTTTCCGTGAAGAGCCAGCTTTTCTCCGAGAGCCGGGACTCTCCGCAGCCCCGCCCCGCCTGACCACTGTGGCTGGCGTTCCTGGATCGTTAGGGGACCGGCCTGCCTGCGAAGCTGGTCTCTCTCCCACCAGCTCCTCTCCCACCCGCAGTTTCTCACCCCGTTTTGCTCCCATGACGCCCCCCTATAGTCACTGCCACATTGGTGGGGACCCGGGACTCAGATCCAGACCCAGCCCAGAGACCACCCATGAGGATCCATGCTCCATATCTTGGGTGGTGGCATCAGTGGCGAGAGGGACCCCATTAACCTGGTTTCCATCCTCCCCAGGCCACTCAGCCTGGGCACCTTCCTGGTCCCAGAACTGCCTCCCATTTAATTGGGCACCCTTCTATCCCCAAGAAGCCCTTCCCTGCTTGCACCCTGAAGAACACGGCATGGATCCCATCAACTCAACGCTGGTGGAAAGACGAGGACGAACCCTAGCTCAGGCACAGTCAATGCCTCCTCAGCACTCCTGGGTGGCCCTAGTTCTAGAGTGAGGGGTGGGTGGAACCTGGGGCCACCTTGTTCACCCTGTCCTCACTCCCCACAGATTGTGGATCTAAATGATTGCTTCTAGAACTATTCTTCTAGATTATTCCACATCAGAATTACTGGGAAATTTAAATTTGCAGATCCCACACCTTACCCTGAATCCTCACTTAGGGTGGGGTCAGGAAATGCATTTTCACTAGTTGGGGGCGTTGCGGGGGCCAGCCGCTGGCTGTCTCGTGGCATTTCTGTGGCTCTGTGGTGTTCCCCCACCCCAGGACCAATCTCTTCATATCTTCTCTGCAGAGCCACACTGACGGCCTGACCTCCATGGGTAGAGTCACTTAGGGGCCACTTCCTAGGTTGCCATCTAGCCTCAGTGGCCCCACAGTGCTTCCTGGAGCCAAGGCTGTGGGCAGCCACCGGGAAGGGTTGCCCCTTCCCTTGAGGATGGCAGGCAGGAGGCTTTGGTCGTTACCTGGGAATTCTAGGCTGCTAGGAAATGATTTTGGGCCTCTGTCAGTTTCTTTTCCATGTATGAGGAGGCAGAAACTTGTATTTTAGAAGCTTATTCATCCCACTCAGGACAATAAAAATGAATAGACAGGCCAGGCGCAGTGGCTCACGCCTGTAATCCCAGCACTTTGGGAGGCCAAGGCGGGTAGATCATGAGGTCAACAGATGGAGACCATCCAGGCCAGTATGATGAAACCCCATCTCTACTAAAAATACAAAAATTAGCTGGACGTGGTAGCACTGGCCTGTAGTCTCAGATATTTGGAAGGCTGAGGCAAGAGAATTGCCTGAACCCGGGAGGCGGAGGTTGCAGTGAGCCGAGATTTGGCCACTGCACACCAGCCTGGTGACAGAACGAGACTCTGTCTAAAAAAAAAAAAAAAAAAAATAGACAGAAATTCTTCTTCTGAGCATTGATGGACTTGGGGAGAAGTGTGGTGGTGGGAACTGGACCGACCTGAATCTCCTTGCTTTGCAGAAGAAGGAATCCAGGGTTGATGGAGAATCTAAAAATAAAGAGTTGGGGAGGGTTCGGTGGCTCATGCCTGTAATCCCAGCACTGTGGAGGGCCGAGGCAGGCAGATCATTTGGGGTCAGGAGTTTGAGACCAGCCTGGCCAACATGGTGAAACCCTGTCTGCACTAAAAATATATTTTAAAAAATTAGCCCGACATGGTGGTACAAGTCTGTAATCCCAGCTACTCAGGAGGCTGAGGCAGGAGAGTCACTTGAACCTGAGGGAGGTTGCTGTGAGCCGAGATTGCACCACGGCACTCCAGCCTGGGTAACAGAGCAAGACTCCATCTTAAAAAAAAAAACCAAAAACTAACAAAAAAGATAAATAAATAAATAAGAAAAAGAAGAAAGAAGAGTGGGAGGAAGAAGCAGAGAGGAACTCAAAAGTTGGTTATGAGGCACCCAGCGGAGGGATGGCCACTGTGGAAGAGACTGCCTCGTGACTCCATGCAGAGTTTGACAACCTTTAAAGCTGTATGTCTGCTACACAAAAATGTCATGTGAAAGTGATTACTTTTATTTTTTAAATGGTGTCATTTGAAAATGGTATATTCTCACCGGGTGCGGTGGCTCATGCCTGTAATCCCAGCATTTGGGAGGCATAGGTAGGTGGATCAAAGGAGGTCAGGAGTTCAAGGCCAGCCTGGCCAACATGTTGAAGCCCTGTGTCTACTAAAGATACAAAAATTAGCCAGGCGTGGTGGCATGTGCTTGTAATTGCACCTACTCCAGAGGCTGAGGCAGGAGAATTGATTAAACCTGGGAGGCAGAGGTTGCGGTGAGCCAAGATCATGTCACTGCACTCCAGCTTGGGCAACAGAGTGAGGCTTAGACTCAAAACAAATAAATAAAATAAAAAATAAGCCAGCCATGGTGGCTCATGCCTATAATCTCAGCTTTTGGGAGGCCGAGGTGGATCACAAGGCCAAGAAATCAAGACCATCCTGGCCAACGGGGGGAAACCCAGTCTCTTTTTTTTTTTTTTTGGTAAAAATATAAAAATCACCTGGACATGGTGGCAGGTGCCTGTAATCCCAGCTACTCAGGAGGCTAAGGCAGGAGAATTGCTTGAACTCAGGAGGCAGAGATTCCAGTGAGCAGAGATCGTGCCACTGCACATCAGCCTGGGCCACAGAGCAAGACTCCACCTCAGAAAAAAAGGAAAGGAAAACAATAAAGAAAGTAGATGAGTGGTTGTCCATGGAAGTGAGGATTGGTGGTGACGTCGCAGAGGCAGGATTCCTCTCAGGTGATGAACATGTTCTAAAGTGGGTGGTGGCGATAGTCACACAGTTCTCTGCTTTGAATTGCATCGCCTGTGAATTACGTCACCATAAAGCTATAAAAACAGGGAACAGTCTGGATGGATGACAAGATGCCTTTGGATGGTGGCCTTTGTGAGAGTCGCGGAGGGGCTAGGGTTGCCGGGCGAGAGACAGTCTCTTGGAGCTGAAGCCTAGAGCAAGACTTTAGCTGGTGCACGAGTGGCTTCCTTCTCTCTCCCACTCTACAGTTCAGAGATGGCTCAGGGAAAGATCTGGACTTCCTAACTGTGGAGAGGGGGCTGCACGCAGTGGAATGGACTCCTAAGTGGCAGGCAGGTGACAACCAGTGTCTAGTCCACCCGAGTGAAGATTTCACCAGGAAAGCGTGGTTTCTAGGTTCTGTCTCTCCGGGTCCCCTTTGAGAATATAATGGGACACATTGTGTCCATGCTGGGCTAATTTTTTTTTTTTTTTTCTATTTTTAGTGCAGACAGAGTTTCACCATGTTGCCCAGGCTGGTCTCAAACTCCTAACCTTGTGATCTGTCCGCTTCGGCCTCCCAAAGTGCTGGATTTCATGTGTCAGCCACCATGCCTGGCAGACCCCTGCCCTGTCTTGATGTCGGTGTGGGCAGGGTGTGCCCAGCCCCTGAGCTGGGGGTGCACAGCTAGGAGCTGCCCCCAGCCTCCCCCAGCACATAGTGGCAGAGCCCTGCCTTCAACTCAAGCCACAATGGGGGCCCTGGCCTCGTGACCAAGCAGACACAGCCATCGTGTCACAGCCATGGAGGGGAATGCAGAGAAGGGGAGTCTGGGAAAAGTCCCTCCTGTCCATGGTGCTGTGGCCAAGAAACCAACACCTGTGGGCTTCCATCTCCCAGACTCAAGTAAAGGCTGAGAGGCCTGGGTGTGGCCAGGGCCCGGGGCTGAACACCCCCACCTGCAGACCCTGAATGGTGCCCCCATTCCACAGGAGCTCACTCCTCTACTTGAAAAAGAAAGAGATGCATTATGGCGCAGAGGCAACAGACCGCCTGTCCAGGAAGTTGAGGATCCCGAAACCCAGGAGCCCGAGGAGCCCAAGGAGGGCTTCCAGGCCATGCTGCAGCGGCTGCAGACGTGGTGCCAGATGGTTCTGGCCTGGGTGAAGCAGGTGGCGGACGTGGTCCATGAAGTACAGACCTTCTGGAAAGAGTTTGAGAGTTTCTACTGCTCTTTGGCAGAGCTCTTCATGTCCTTTTTCCAGCCCTTAAGGAGCCTCATGATGGGGAAGGGGGAGCTGACACCCTAGAAGTGCTCTGAACCCCAGGGAAGCTACTGACACCACCTTTGCCCTCCCTGTCACCATGTACCCATCCTGATCCCTCCCTCCGCTCTCCTGTGCCCCACCCCCCTCCTGGCGTTCCTGCTGCAGCTCTGACCTGGCACTGTCACGACGGCATCTTAATAAAACTTGCTTAGACTTGCCTGGCAGAGGGGGTACCGTGATCACAAAGGTGGTTTTCCCAGGGCAAGGCTTATCCGTTTCTGTATTAGTCCATTCTTCACATCACTGTAAAGAATGCCTGAGACGGGGTAATTTATGAAGAAGGTTAATTGACTCACAGTTCCACAGGGCTGGGGAGGCCTGAGGAAACTTACAATCATGGGGGAAGGTGAAAGACAATCAAGGCACGTTCTATATGGCAGCAGGAGAAGCCGGCAGGGGGAACTGCCAAACACTGTTTTTTGTTTTTTTTTTTTTGAGATGGAGTTTTGCTCCTGTCGCCCAGGCTAGAGTGCACTGCCCTTTTGACCATGCTCCTGTGATCACAGCCACCTAATACCACAAAACGCATGGCAAATTTTGTCTTTTTAGTAGAGCCGGGGTTTCTCCATGTTGGTCAGGCTGGTCTCGAACTCCTGACCTCAGGTGATCCACCCGCCTCAGCCTCTCAAACTGCTGGGATTACAGTTGTGAGCCACCGCACCCAGTCCACTGACAAACACTTTTAAAACATTAGATCTTGTGAGAACTCGCTCCCTTACACAATACTGCTGCATTGCCAGGACCCCGTGAAAGCTCTGCCTGTCTGGGAACAGGTGCTTTTCTTTGGCCTTCCCCACGGCTCTTGCCTCTGGAAAGTATCCCAGATGTGAGATACGCAAGAGTTGCTCATTCATTTGTAAAATGGTTATATGAAGGCCACGCTTTATTTATGGGGGACTGGGATACTAGATGACGTTAGAAGTGTCTGTGATTGGGCCGGGCGCGGTGGCTCAAGCCTGTAATCCCAGCACTTTGGGAGGCCAAGGCGGGTGGATCACGAGGTCAAGAGATCGAGACCATCCTGGCCAACATGGTGAAACCCCGTCTNTCCAGCACAGATATCCTGGTTAAAGTACAAGGACATAGAATGTACTACGTGCCTGTAAGCATGGCGTGTCTAACAGCTACAAAGGATAGGGCTTAACAAAGTTATTAGCACACCTGCTCTTTAACAAGAAAGAAAACTATTAAAAGGAACTTTTCTACTTCCTACAACCAACATGGTGAAACCCCATCTCCACTAAAAATACAAAAATCATCTGGGCATGGTGGCACGTGCCTGTAGTCCCAGCTACTTGGGAGGCTGAGGCAGAAGAATTGCTGGAACCCAGGAGGCAGAGGTTGCAGTGAGCTGAGATCGTGCCACTGCACATCAGCCTAGACAGCAGAGCAGGATTCCATCTCAAAAAAGAAAAACCATAAAGAAAGTAGATGAGTGGTTGTCCATGGAAGTGAGGATTGGTGGTGACGTCGCAGAGGCAGGATTCCTCTCAGGTGATGAACATGTTCTAAAGTGGGTGGTGGCGATAGTCACACAGTTCTCTGCTTTGAATTGCATCGCCTGTGAATTACGTCACCATAAAGCTATAAAAACGGGGAACAGTCTGGATGGATGACAAGATGCCTTTGGATGGTGGCCTTTGTGAGAGTCGCGGAGGGGCTAGGGTTGCCGGGCGAGAGACAGTCTCTTGGAGCTGAAGCCTAGAGCAAGACTTTAGCTGGTGCACGAGTGGCTTCCTTCTCTCTCCCACTCTACAGTTCAGAGATGGCTCAGGGAAAGATCTGGACTTCCTAACTGTGGAGAGGGGGCTGCACGCAGTGGAATGGACTCCTAAGTGGCAGGCAGGTGACAACCAGTGTCTAGTCCACCCGAGTGAAGATTTCACCAGGAAAGCGTGGTTTCTAGGTTCTGTCTCTCCGGGTCCCCTTTGAGAATATAATGGGGTACATTGTGTCCAAGCTGAAATCCTCACCCCAGGACCTCAGAATGTGCCCTTATTTGGAAACAGGGTCATTATGGAGGTGATGAAGTGACAATGAGGACACTGGGGTGGACCCTACTTCAATATGACTGGTGTCCTTATGAAAAGGGGAAGTGTGGACA